GGGGGGGGGGGGGTATACGTAAGTACCACTATGGATATATCGTTTAGGGCTAATTTAGGGTTGAGTGCATACTTCATATTACAAAATGCGTTCTTCAGACATATTACATGATCAACCAGATCGATACTCTGCAGCAATGCGGGCAACGGAGGATATTGGTTCACGTACTTTTTGGTTGAATAGATAGATAAGATAGATAAATCGTTTATTCCAATAAAAATCACCTAGCAGCCAAAGGCTGAATTACGTGCTAAGAATTTTACAATATACTACATCTACTATTTACCAAATAATGTTCAATATAACTAACTTCTATAACGTTCGATAGCATGACTAATTATAAAAGAGTTCTTAAATCTATTAGTTCTAAATTTTGGAATTTGATAGTCTCTCATCCTACGCAGATTTATGGTGTCGGAAGCCTTCAGCGGAAGACGTGAAGCCAGCTTATGATCTGTATCGCTGGCTATCATCTCAAATAAGTCCTTAGAGAGTTTATCACGTCTAGCGAAAAGTGTTACTAAATCAGCTGCCTCAATAACTTGAATAAATGCGTACGATTCAAGACGCATTTACAGCGCAAGATTGCGGCGTGAGCCTCGCATGCTGTTATTCAATACTTGTTGCATGCTACAAAGACAATTGCCAGAGCAATTTGATGGTAATATAATGGGTTTTTAAAATTTTAAACCGAATTTTAACCGTCTGTGCTCATTCGGCAACTATTGGACTGTTACTTTAAACGACGTTGGGTTCCCTGTTTTCCCTGCATGTCAAAAATTAAAGTTTGCGCTGAGGGACCTGGAGGCGAGTATCGAATCGATGATGATACAATCTCGTTCCCAGAGTATGCCTGTTCGCGGGTAGGTTGTGGCATGACTCTGGGGAAATCGAATTTTTTTATCCAAAATGAGATAAATGGCGCATGCGCTTTTATTGCTTTTGCTTATTCCGCTTACTAAATTCGCGCGGGCACACGCTCACAATCGATATTGTTTTAAACAAAGATTCTCATCAGAATATAGTATACAAAATGGTTTTTTATACGTTTAAAGGTGCTTTAAATCGTACTACTATTAAATTATATTCAATGGCAAATATTGAAAGAGCTATGAAAGTTGTTCTAGCGAAAAGAGGGCTTGAATATTCGTTAAAAGACGAGACATTCAAATGTATCTCGGCCATATAAATGTAAAATGGTGAAGATGTTTTGGTTGTTTTGCCAACAGGTTATGGGCTATTATGGCAAATATTAAAATATTTCAGCTGCTACCTGACGTGTTACTTGGCGTAACTAATTCTATCGTGATAGAAATATCTCCACATGAATGACCAAGGCATTTCTGCATGCATGATGTCAAAGTATGATACAAGGCCTGAAGGCCATTCTGTGCTACACTATATTATGGTGATGGCAGCGATATCAAATTACCATTGGATCGACATGAGAACCTGACGTATAAGCTGTTCTATATGCACCCAGAAATGTGTGTCTATGACAAGAAAATACAAGCTTTTTTCAACTGTATACTGTAAACCTCTGAATATATTAATGCTCACCTCATTCCAAATATAAGCCCCCTCCCCCCAAATATAAGCCCCCCTGAATATAAGTCCCCTGAATATAAGCCCCCTGAATATAAGCCCAGTATCCCACTATGTTATTTAACATTGACATTGTCTTTTAATATAGCAGAGAACGATATTTGAAACACTGTCATTGTCTTTATAGCTTACTATGTTAATCAAAGTGTGTTATTAATACATGTTTATTTTCCTGTTTATGACTGACTTGTTTATTACTAACACAATTGATCGTCCATGTATAAGGCCCCCGTGCATATAAGCCCCCCCCCCCCTAAGCCCATCAAAAATCACTTACAAAAGAATATAAGCCCAGGGCTTATAGTCGGAGGTTTACGGTATTATATATCCCATATTTTAACAATAAACACATTATTTTTTATATTATATTACATTAACATATATACATGGAGCACATATAAAGTCTTTAAATGACAGTACATTGTGTTTGTAATTATAATTACCATAATTACTTGTGTCGAAAGTAAGAAATGAAGTGAACAAATCCATATATATTTGTTGAAAATTTCTTGCAGTGGGTATCTTCCATTTGTTTTTCATGCTTCACATTCTGTATCTTTGAACATTTAATCAGCAACTAATTATAGGCAAGGGTGTATTTACTAGCTCATTACTCCATATTACCAGGTACATAACATGCAAATTATACATCAACCTTGCAATCCAGGCTTTAACCCCAGTTGCCACTCTCCTGCAGCATGTTTGGGAGGGGAGAGGAAGGAATGGAAGTACTGTAATTTCTATATTTAGCCCCCTTCTCTTCAAGTCCCTCTCCAATAACCTCCCTCCCCCTCATTTGGATACAAAAATCAAAAATAAATAAGCCCCCCTCCCTTTTAACCATGCAGACCCCATTCAATTAACTCTTAAAATCATGAATTATATTGCATTTCTGCAGTATTTTAATAAAATATAGTACAACGGTAACTCTGAATATGGACATTTTTTAATGGTAACCAGATTTAGATTTTTAGAACAAAAGTGCGCCCTCGATGATGCTTGGGAAAAAATAACACCGAAGGGGCTTGATACAGAAATTAACTAGTTATTTGATTGAAACTGGTAGTTATTTCAATCCTACTGTATCTCCTTTTATACATAATTGCCAATATATTCACATAGAATAATAGTTTGGAAATGGAATCAATGCTAATACATTTTTAGCAAAGGAGCCTTGTATTGATCCACAGTGACTCTTATTGCATGCTATAAACAGCATTGACATTGTTTCACATAGCAACAGACAAGGAAACATCTGTATTTAAATTCACCACTTATTTTTTATCCAGACACCTTGATGCAAAAATTTTCAAGTTTGGCTTAGTTACAGTCTTACATCATGCCGGCAAGTGGCAATCATTTACAAAGCATGCAGGTCTATAACCAAATGTTTTACAACCTGAGGAACTTCTTAAATTAATTATTCTATAATTTATACAGATACTACAAAAACACCTCGCATCTTAAATTTATAGATAACTCCTTTTACAAAAGCACAAAGACCACGGGCTAAAACATGTTGACCATAATTGACGTGTAGTATAATTGACCTCTTAGCACATATATGTCAGGTGAACAAGAAGCGGAAAATCTAATATCCAGTTGACTTTGCAGTACAATCAGGAAACAGCAGTAAGAGCTATGGAAGATTGCGTTAATGATATTCGTACCTGGATGGTTCATCATCGTCTTTTTATTCAAAGCAATAAGACTGAGTTTATTATAATTGGCTCTCGACAACAACTGATCAAGCTATCCATTGATAAACTACGAGTGGGTGACGTGAACGTTTCTTGGGTCATGGTTCGATATGCATATGTCGATGGAGTCATCCATGTTAGCAAGGTCTGCAGTAAGGCTTTTTGGAGTTTATATCATATTATTATATCATATTAGAAATTACTTAACCGAGGATTCCACGAAAATCTTGGTTCACGCATTCATTACGTCCCACATCGATTATTGTAATTCGCTACTTTTTGGGATTCCAAAATATCAACTCGATCGGCTGCAAAGAGTTAATACCTAAATTCGATCACATTACACCAACATTGATGAAACTTCACTGGTTGCCTGTAAAAGACGACGTGTTATTTAAGATTCTTCTTATCGTTTACAAGGCGCTTCATGGGTTAGCTCCTAAATACATTTGTGATTTGTTAACACGTACACAGGATTGTTGCTATTCGTTAATGAGATTTGATATGCAAGATCTCCTCGATGTGCCGTATACTCGCTGGAAGACATCGGGCGATCGTGCTTTGGTGAGAGCTGGTCCTTTTCTGTGCAAGTTGCTCCCACTTGACATTCGTGCTTCGTTTTCGGTCGACAGTTTCAAGAGACATCTTGAAACATTTCTTTTTAGGGATGCGTACATTAGTAGTGTTTTTCATATAGACAATTTTTAACTTTCAATTAACGGTGAATAATGTGTAAATGTAGTCTAAAGTAATTTTACGATTTTATATTTCACTGTTTGTATACCTAGCGCTTTAGAATATTTATAGTTTAAGCGCTTTATAAATGTTATAATATTAAATATTAATATAGAAGTTATCATATGTTGGAAATTAGTATAGTAATATTTAAGTAACTTTAGTACATATATGTATTTTGTAACATTAGCACACCTCTTTAGGAAATCACCCGTATGTTGATCATCAACTGTATTTGTTTACAAAATTGTACTTGTCCTTTGAACTTGTACAATTGTAATTGTGTTTGAAAAATTCACGTGCTTGTTTTTTTTTTCAAATTGTACTCGAAAGCATACTACTCGCCATACTAAAAAGCAGAAGGCCAACGAAATAACGAATCGAACATTAGCTCTTGGTTTGCACCTTGATCTTATTTTGCACATACATGAAATTCTCTCAACTTACTTCCACAACAAACCCAATGTAGTTTTCTTCACAAGATTGAACTGTGGACGTATTTCTTTGAATAGAAATGTTGGATATATCATTCGTGAACAAGGTGGAGAACATTGCGAAAAACCCCAAAGTCACCGCCATTAATTCATGTATTGAAGTTGATATAACTGGTCAGGTTGTTTCTGATTCTATTGGAACAAGAATGTATTCTGGTAAGCATGGTATTTAGGCTCATGTGTCAGTAATGTTTGGAATTGCTGTAAAGATTGGTTGAAAGATTTCAATATTGAAATGTAATGATTGGCTATGTGATTTATATTGGACAGTTTAAGTTCGATACCAATACCGATACCAATGTTTTCACTTCCGTTCTCATTTTGGTACCGGGAATTTTAAAGCGTTAAGTTATCACGACAGATAAAGTATAGAACACATTAATCGTCACCGAAAATGTGCGGTATACTAAACGGCAGCTGAGCTAAAATTCCGACTAAAACATGACTCAGGCGATGCTAATAAACAAATAGTTTACATGTTTATCGTAAAAATTATGAAATATCCGATTTATATGAGTTTATCTTACAATTCCCCCGACTTCCAATACAAGGCCGACTTCGGTATAGTGGTGACTTCCAATACACTTGTCCGTGTGCTTCTTCCAAGCAGAGAGCATGCGTATGACATGTTGTTAGTATCAGGTATTGGTATCGGAAGTCGAACTTAAACTCTCTATTATTTCACGTAATCGAGACTTCCTATATCTCTTCCTTCCTATATATGTTGATTACAGCCAATGAAATGAATATATTATTGGAACGCCACCTCCAACCGGAAATTTGAATTTTGATCCAGTCCTAAGACCAATGTACTTCATCAGGTATCCAGTATTGTCATGTGAGCAAAATAAAGCAATATGGTTGACTAATTTATCATGAGTTATTAATGAGTTTGAGATATTCCGATAACCGATATTGAAGGACCGATATTTTGCCGATACCGATATTCTATGTCATTTCACAAAATTCAAAAATGACATCATGACAGTTCTACTTTAATACTTTTGAATTTAATTCAATTCAATTCATTTGTTTCTAAATGCTAAAAATATCAAATGAAATGCAAATTTGCAAATACATGCAACAAACTAGTATATTACTACGCCAGTGACTGTTTATTTGTAATAAAAATTACTATTGGACTGCAGCTATAACCAATCATTAAATATTATTTGTTAGTATAATTACATAAGTGATTATTGCAAATTCTCCACGCTGATTGGTTGCCATTGAGGTGATTATATAATCACCTAAGCGATTTTCGAAATGCCGACCGAAGCCGTTTTACTTTGTCAATTACATGACGAAGAAATTTGTATATTTTCTTCAAAAAATCACCTATATGAAATCATACTGAAACAATTATTCACCTCAGGCTCGGTGATTATCGTGAATAAAAACCTCGACTTCGTCCCGGTTTTTATTCACCAATAATCACCTCGCCTTCGTAATATCAACAACAAAATTACTAGCTAACACCAATATTAATATTTTAATACCGATAAGCCGATACCGATACACCGATATGGATATCCGTGCATCATTATTCCAGTTATATTCATTTCTCTGATGATACCTGAATTGTTTATTTTACAGACTTCAAATGAATTCTTTAGAGCACTGAGTAAAACTTTATGAATATTTTTACACTTAAGGGCCTTTAATTGAATGACAAAAGTTCTCATAGGAATCTTGGAATAGTCATTCAATTTTATCTTCACTCAAGGGTAGGAACCCTGGGGCCGATTGTTCAAAGGTATAGGTTATAGCGCTAACCCTGGATTAAAATTTAACCTACTATTTTAGTTTGTGTATTTGTGTACTCGACTGTCGCCTCGAACGGAACATTCCATCTTTTACCTCGTGCATGAAAATATTCTTACCATTGCACTCATAAACATTCATTATTTGTATATTGTTTCCATCTGAACTGTTTCACAATAAGGTATATAGGTTATGTACAAATATGTTTCTTAGAGATTGTCAGTTACGCAGGGCGGATTGTAACGGTCTGCTATTTGCCGATCACTAAATGACCGATTAATTTCATTTCGCACGGACATATATTTTGACCAATCACTGAATGAAACCCCCAGATTTCACTTAAATTAAAGTTAACAAGCTAGAGAAGGAAAACAAAATATTTTCTTGGCTTCATTGTCACAAGTAAAAAAATCACGTCACAAGTCATATGGTAACAGACATGCAGAAAATTCCGAAACAATATCCGTTGAAGCATGAACGTTTCGGTTGCTTCGATCGTTCAGGCTGCTTACCAAAAGTAAAGTAATGTGATTGATCATGCGGGAAGTGATCAGGACGAGCTATTAAGGTAAATATTGAAAAGTTGGCCGGCTATTATTAGCCATGCAATCCCTGAACAACTGCACAGTTAATCGGATCAGTCAGACACAAATGAATTCTTTGTAATCCTCACTGGTAATTACCATTTTGTCGTTTCGTTCTTTAGGTGTTGGCGGACAAATTGATTTTATTCGGGGAGCCGCATTAGGGGACGATGGTTTAGGAAAACCTATTTTGGCATTTCCTTCTGTTACAAGTAAAGGAGAAACAAGGATAGTGCCTTATATCAAACAAGGTAAGCATCGGCATTTCGTTTTAGTAGTTGAACGTGCATATACCTAATAATTCATGTGGATGGGAATTTCCCATTTTACTGAAACCCATAGTTCATGTGGGCGGGTATTTCCGGTTATGATGTCGTTGGCCTTCAATTCGCGGCTAGCCCTGAGTACGAGGTTGACAATTTTTTTAGTTCTTGTTGGTATTTTGAACTCGCGCTTTATTGTTATCACGAATTTTGCTTACATTACATAATTTTGAAGCCATTCGAAGGTTAGCCCTTGGTACGAGGTTGACAATTTGTTTAGTCCCGTTGGTATTTTGAACTCACACTTTTCATGTTATCATGAATTTTGCTTACATTACATACTTTGAAGCCATTTGTTGAGGCCACTTAATGACTTTTTTATTAAGTTCTGACAAATATTGAAGTATTTGTAGAAAAAACAAATATTAAGTTCTGACAAATATTGAAGTATTTGTTGAAAAAAGTATTTGTTGTTAATAGTTCTATTAAACAAACCAAAAAGAACGAACACGGAAAATTACTTGCGCGAATTTAAAGCTGTGCGAATAAGTCTCAACAAGGTGCGTGAAATTAAATCGAGCAAACTTAAAGCCGAGCGAAAATTAGTACGACGGGAAGTTTAATACAAGTAAGGCAGTCTATTTCACACAAATATATTATATGATTCCTGGTCCTTTCTAGGTGCTGGTGTGGTAACAACCCGAGCACATGTTCATTACATTGTCACTGAATATGGACTGGCAAATTTATTTGGGAAGAATTTAAGACAACGAGCACACGCTTTGATCCAAATAGCACACCCAGCACATCAGGAGCGGCTGGAGAAAGAAGCTTTTGAAAGACTCAAATGTATACCGTCACCATAGGGTGTTTGTGACCTACAAACGCGATGACGTACAAACAAACTCATTTAAATAAATTGTTGTAATAAAACATAACTACCATTATTCTTCATGCCGTGTTACAGCTTGAAATGTAGGCGTCGATTTGCCTTTGTAAACAGGTGAGGACGACGTCTTCATTCTTCAAATTCTGTGGGAATTTAATTATTCTTTCTTTTACACAATATTATAAGTTTAATTGTATTAATGCTTCAGTCATTTGAAACCACGCCCCACCCCCCACCCCACCCCGGGACATAGCGGGGAATTTACACTAACCAAGTGTTAAAAAACATTGGGGCAAACTGGTCTTTTAAAACCCCCGTACAGCCGGGCTTCAGTATACCTAAACTAGAAATACAAGACAATTTCCGCATCATGCATTTAAGGTGGCTCCATACAGTTTCTTGAAAAGTGGAAAAGACACATTTCCGACCCACAAAATTTGTACATTGATATTTTATAGAAGAAATGAAACCAGATGTCTTGTATACAGCAGTATTTTGAGAATCAGAGAATTTTTTGGTCGGAAATGTGGCTTTTCCACTTTTCAAGAAACTGTATGGAGCCGCCTTAAGTTATGAGAGACAGTTAGATAACATAATAATAATAATTAATAATAATTTATTAATTTATAAAGCGCTAAAACTATAAATATTCTAAAGCGCTATCATTACAAATTCAAATAAAATGTTATAAAGTATGAGATGATACCTATATATACATGTTTAAAATTTACTATTATATTTAAAGATAAAATGCCTTTTTTAAAAAGAAAGGTCTTAAGTCTGTTTTTAAAAGTTTCCACTGTTGACGCCTCACGAATGTCAGCGAGAAGTTCAAATTTACTATTATATTTAAAGATAAAATGCCTTTCTAAAAAGAAAGGTCTTAAGTCTGCTTTTAAAAGTTTCCACTGTTGACGCTTCACGAATGTCAGCGGGAAGTTCATTCCACAAAAATGGACCAGCCTTGGCAAAAGCTCTGTCGCCAAACGTTTTCCTCATTGTCTTAGGAACTATTAGCAAATTTTGCTCATTCGAGCGCAGGCTGTAGCAACCAATATGCTTAGGTGTCAGAAGGTCTGAGATATAAGGCGGTGCATTAGCATGAAGAGCCTTGTACACCAGCAACAAAATCTTGAAAATCACCCGATATCGTACAGGAAGCCAATGAAGGCCAATCAAAACGGGAGTAATATGATCGAATTTGGGGATTAAACAGACCACACGTGCTGCAGCATTGAGAACTCTTTGTAACCTATCATATTGAGACTGTGGCAGACCATAAAACAATGAGTTACAGTAGTCCAGGTGTGAAGTAACAAAAGCATGAACCAAAATCTTTGTTGTATCTTCTGAAAGGAATTTCCTTATCTGCCGGATATTATAGAGGCTGCGAAACGCCTTACTACACACTTTTCCGATGTGAATATCCATCGACATATGTGAGTCAAACCACATTCCGAGGCTTTGAACCACCTCCACAGGCTCGATCGTAGATTCACCAACTGTAATTTCATTGATGTTAATCTTTGACATTTGCTGCTTTGAACCGATGATAATAAATTCAGTCTTGGAATCATTTATCAAGAGACGGTTAGAAAGCATCCAGGCACGAATGTCAGCAACACAGTTTTCAATACTCTTTAGTGCAGCATCTTGTGATAAAGATGTATCCGGCCGAAACGAATGATAAATCTGGGTGTCATCTGCATACGTATGTGCATTGGGAAGATGTTTGTCAATAACCTTAAATAACCCAGCCACATAGAGTATGAAGAGGACAGGGCCAAGGCAGCTACCCTGCGGAACTCCCGATTGAAGATTGAAAACTTCCGATTCATGGTTTTTAATTAAAATTGTTTGTTTTCTCTCGGATAAATAAGATGTTAGCCATTTGAGGGCATTTCCAGTTACGCCAAAGTCTTTTTCAAGTGTCTCCAGTAAGATAGCATGGTCGATAGTATCAAATGCGGCACTTAGGTCGATAAGCACAAGAAGCGTAACCTCCTGCTGATCCATACTGAGGAGAATGTCGTTCTGGACTTTTAGTAAAGCTGTTTCTGTTGAGTGATTTTTCCGATACGCTGATTGATACTCGGAAAAGGGGCATTTTCAGCACAATGTATAGATAACTGAGAGATCGTTGCCTTCTCAGCAGACTTGGCAACAAATGGCAGGTTGCTTATAGGTCTGAAGTTTTCAAACATAAAATCAAGTCCAAATTTCTTCAAAAGAGGTAAAACTAGCGCTATTTTCCAATGATCGGGTACAATTCCTTCAGAAAAAGAGAGATTAATGATTTCAGCGATGATTGGGGCCAATTCATGACAACAGAGTTTAACCAATGATGTAGGAATAGGGTCCAACTTACTGGAAGCATTCGAAGATTCAAGAATAATCCTCCGAACTTCATCCTCAGAAACCGATCTACAAAGATCAACTCATCATGATCTACAAAGATCTACAAAGACCAATTGATCTACAAAGACTGTTGCGTGTGGGCGGTCGTCTCGAACGGGGAGAACTAACCAATGAAGAGAAATACCCAGTGATTCTGCCGGGACATCATATTACAACCATTGAAATGAATGTAACTGGAATGCTACCTTCAGATAAATTGCCTATCTTTTACTTGAAGCCAAATTTTACATCCAGACACGCGGGTCTGGAGGTTAAGATTACGCGTGTTTATATCATCATTGACTGATTGAGCACTCTTCGCATGCGTGAAAAGACTGGGACTGGCCTTCAAGTTGGCTTCAAATTTCCGGTCGGAGGTAGCATTCCAGTTACATTCATTTCAATGGTTACAACTCTGGTTGTCGAGCACCTCCACCATGAATTTAAGCACTAGGGGCGACACTTCACACAAGGAATAATAAGAGCCCAGGGATATTGCATAATCGGCGGAAAACGGCTTATCAACAGAGTCATCTACCGTTGTTTCAAGTGTCGAAAGCAGAGAGGGAAATTACAAAATCAGCAGATTGCCGACCGAAGGATTAACGCCAACTCCTCCGTTCACATACGTGGGTTTAGACGTATTCGGGCCGTGACAAATTACAACTCGGAAAACCAGGGGAGTAGCTGCTCGAAGTGAACGATAGGCCGTAATTCTTACCTTACCGTAAGGGTGATCCATATAGAGTTGATTGAATACATGGATACCTCGAGTTTCATCAAAGCCTTACGTAGGTTTTCCTTCATTAGGGGTCCGCCATCCAACTCCGATAACGGTACCAAGTTCGTGGGAGCGCGTAATGAATTGGATGCCGCGTTTAAAGAAATAAATAAGAACACCGTCGACACCTACCTGAGCAAAGAATGCTGTGAATGGGTTTTCAATCCTCCCTATGCATGGATCCCATATGGGCGGTGTCTGGGAGAGAATGATCGAAATTGTTAGAAAGGTCTTAAACGCCATGCTAGCCGATCTTGGACCAAGGCACCTCACGCACGAGATTCTCACCACCTTTATGGCCACCTGAAAATCCGTGCGGTTGTTTTCAGTGGTTGTCTTCATACCAGATACCTTCTAGCGCAATTATTACACCCTGCAGGGTTTGACTTTATAAAAATAGGAATATACAATAACTAAAATATGTATATAGATAAATCCAAAACAGAGATTAGTAAATGAATGATATGATATTGTTGGACCAGGAACTGGTCCCCAATCGCTGCTAATCTTGTTGTCGTTGTTGTTAGGGGGCGACGCTCTTTGAAAAAGACTCCGTCATTACTTGTCTGATCGGAATAAAATTTGACCCAATTATTCTATTTTGCATCGATTGACGGTGTTCGATTTTTCATTTTTGACTTTAATTAGAAGCAAGATACAAGCAATTTTTGGGCTAGATCCTCGGGTAGAGGAGAACTGATCACGTGATCGGCTAGTTGTGTTGTTTGTCGCGTCAGATATAACCCTATCTCTAATCCTAAATCTAACCCTTACCCTAACCCTTACCCTAACCCTAACCTCAACACTAATCACTATAACTAACTGAAGACGTAATTTGTAATGCAAATTCTTCTACCCGAGGAAGTACCCAATTTTTGACTGTATTCGTAGCAAATAATATATACATATCATTAATATTCAGCAAATATATCAGCAAACGCAAACAATAAGAAAGACATTGTCTTTTCTATTGTTGTGAACACAATCACAATAGTCTAAAGCTTCTCAAGAATGTGAACAACTAATTATAACGATTAATTATAAGCGTCAAGTTGACTAAATTTGACACGCTGGCTTAGTTTCTCAAAGCGTAGGGGAGTAATATTGCTATCTGGCTGTCATATGTACAGGGTGTATCAAAAAAAGCGCAACCTCGGAATTTCCCAAGAAATCGACATTGATCGACAAAAGATTTAAGGCGCCTGGGAATTTAAAATAGCATAACTGTCAAAATTACTGCACACGCGAGTGCATAAAGCAAAATTTATGCATTTATTTAAT